TTCAATCCATGATACTGCTTCAGCTCCTGGGATATCTTTTGTTGTGTGGAATCCAAGTAATAGGCATAAAATGAAAACTTACTGAGTCTTGGAGGCTACAGGGATCAAATAATGAAAATCTGAATTAGGGATCTAGAAGTGTGATTATTTTCAAGGATTAAGTTGGAGAAATTTTATTTGGACTGGCACAAGGGTAAGACTTTGGAGCATACGTATGATAAATATTGAAATGGAGCTAAATGGGAATAAGGGCATATAAGAATTTTGCTGTTTATTATGAATATACATATATATGTATGTATGATGATTCCACAGATGTAATCAGAGTTGCTGTTATTTGTATTCATTGTTGCTACTGGATTTAATTCTTAGAGAATATGCTTATGGGAGCCTTCCATGGATAGTCACTTAAGTAGGAAAAAAATATATATAAATATATCAGTTTCATTCATCAATTTCATTCATCTCTATATTTTTTCCATAAACATCTCTTGAATATTTTGCTATGTACCAGGAACTGTGCTTGTATGTGACACACAATCAAAAATATATTAAGGCATTAATATGGTCTAGTGAGGGAAATTGACTCATATATAAATATAACATAGTGTGACAAGTCAAAATTAGAAGTATACAATATATAGAAGTAGTGCAGTGAAGGGGTTGCTTAACTCTGAAGGATGTGGTACATGGAGAACTTAATGGAGAAAGGGATTCCTGAGCTGGATTTTAAAATTAAATGGGAGTTGGCAAGCTCCTCAAAGAGGTCTAACAATTCGGGAAGAAGGACTAGGAGCAGAGCTGCTATTCCATTAAAGCCTATCTAAACTCATTGAAAAACAGTTTTAATTTTTTTTTTTGATAAGAGAAATTATACCTTATGATGAATGATATTAATATGACTGAAATTCGGTCAACTCCATTAACAATAATTTTAACCTTGTTCTTATATGAAAAGACAAAATGGAGGAAAATGATGATTTTCATAACTAGGAAAAATAACAATGTCTAATGATTTCAATTTGAAAACATTTATTTATAGGCTCATTACTAAAATAGTCCTTTTTTGCATCGTATAGATGAGCTAGAAATGCTTCCCTAAACTCCTCTCTTAATATTGTGTCCATTCGCTAGCTTAGGGTGAGAGTAGTTTCTTCTAAATGGCTTATAATTAGTGCTTAGCCTCACTCTGTCCTCCTTTTCTGAATAAGGCCTAGAGGTTAAACTTGTTTTCTCTCTCCCATTTCAAGACCTTGGCATAGCCTCGTTGTTCATGGTCCTCAGGAGGGACATTGCTAGGAAATGGGCTCTTCTTTTATACCCAGGACAGGTACTGCGCTGTGCAAATAGCCACTACAGGAGATAATACCAGCCGTCTTGCTAATAACTTTGAACTCTAAGCATTCTGTAAGCCTCTTCCCGGATAAAGCAACACTATTTAATGATATGGTAACTCCACTTTAGCTATATAACATGTTGTTTTCCACTTGAGACTTGTCTCAATTGGGACCAAGTTTAGCTGACAAAAAACTGTGGAAAATAATAAACTTTAGTGGGCTGATTTGTGCTACATGTGTGTGAGCTCACAGCACCACAGAGTGCAAGGTCATATTGTTGTCCTAATGACCAGGCTTGAAATGTATCACAGAATCGTTCATGGGAAGAAATCTCAAGAAGACCAGTTAAAATAATGCAGATACTAAGATGTGGAATGTGAAGTGAAGCTAATGGAGAAAGTTCAGGAAAGTATTGAGTGAAAATAAAATAAATTAAGGTCAGTTATCTTTAAGCTACACTCAGGAGTTGAAGTTCAGGCAGGAGGAAAGGGGAAACGTTTTCTATAGTTGAAACTCATAAAAGGAGAGGTAATAGTCTAGAATTAAGCACATTCAGGTATGGTAAGAAGGAATCGTTGAGCAGGAAGTTACCTGAGTCATACTAATTAGAACTGCTTAAAAATAGGACAACTAAAATACTGGTGGGATTAACCTTTATAATCAAGCTCCTGAGAGGAGAAGGGGAATTAACCCCAAGGCAAATGCCAAAGTAGTTTTTTTCCTTGAAGGCCTACCCCCAGGTTTCAGCCTCTCTAAGTGCTTTATTTAACATTCTTGTTATTTCCCACTTTACTCTGTTTTCTATGACATGCTTTACTCTTAAAACTTGGGCTACCCAATCTTCTGTACCAAAACATAATTCCTTTCATTTTTGAAGATTTATTTAATAAATGATTGCTCATAAAAATCAATCCTAATTGTGCCAGAATTCTCTGTGGCTCAAAACTATCACAATGATTCTAAATTAATTCTACTTCTAAGTATCTGTACTAATGGGTAATTTATCCAAATTGGAGAGCTGTTAGCACACTCATGATACCATCATTATGAATTGAAGGACCCAGGTACCTTTGCAGGAAGAAAAATACAGAGAATCACAGCCACAGTGATCTTGAACCCAAAATGGAAAACTATTTTGTGGGACTTTTATCATATGATGAATTATGTACAAAAAATATATATTAATTACCATGGCTGCTCTGTATTCTTGAAAATACACGTAAGGCAAATTAGTGCCAGGAGATGCAGAGAAGCAAATGATGCAATCTAGATGTAAATTACTATTTTAAAAAATGACAGTATTAGTCAGTGTGTTCCAAATCAATGGCACAGATTTTGATCTTTTTCTTTTCATTGAATGCAATGTTTTGAATTTTACTTCTCTTTAAGCTTTCAAAGATGGAATAAGGAAGACCTGGGAGAAGAAAAACTAATTGTGGCTATGATGCAGTGGCTTTGTTTTTCAACTTGAACCTCAAATGAGTTTTAGAGTAACCAGTCATTTTTTCCCCCATTTAATGTATAACAGAGTCAATTCACTTTGGGCACATGTGCTCTCTCTTTCAATAGCACTGATATTTGATATACCTTAAACTAGTGATCTTAATAAGTGAACAATTAATTTTCATTGGTCTCACCCTCAAATTATTTCAATAAAATTCCTTATAGCACTAAGTATGTGCCTGTATAAGTGTATATATGTGTGTGCATATGTACAAAATAAACATAAACACATAAAAACATACACATTATATAGCACCAGAAATATTTTTCTCCTTATATGCCTGCTCCTTCATTTTAATGTCCAATATTTTTCTCATTATATAACTTTTGACTTCTGCCTTTTAGATTCAAGGGTTTTCAACTAACTTGAGGATATTTTTGAATCGTATTTTTATTTCTTTCCTTTTTCCATAAGAAAAAATATATGAGTTCTGTAATTAAACTAAAACATTAATTCTGTTTTATTTTTGTATGGTATTTGTGGGGCTCAATGCCTATTTAATAATTTGGTCCATTTTTAAAGTTTCATCAAATGTTTATGGAGTACCTACTATGTCCCAAGCATTGTACTTGGTGATGAGGAGATGATGATGAATTAGGCAGATAATAATCCTGCCTTTGTGAAGGTTAAAACTTGATAGAAAGGAGATTGATTATAATTTTATTGAACACTCTAAAGAAAATAAACAGAATACTATGAAACTGTAACAGTAATACCTGAGGCTTGAGGAAGTTACACTTAACCTAAGATCTGAAACATGTAGGAATCAGCTAAGCAGAAAGAAGAGGTGAACTCAAAACCATTCCAGAGTATAAAATCGCCTGTGCAAAGGCCATATGAGTGGATTGAAATGAGTTGGGGATGAAGCTACAGAGATAGGTGGAAACCTACTGAAACATAGGAGGCCATGTTATGGATTTGCTTTTTTTTTTTTTTTTTCCCCTAAAGAAAATAGGAAAACATCAAATAATTTTAAATAGAGGAGAGAAATGTTCAGAATTTAATATGAGAAAGATTGTTCCAAATGCACTATGAAGAATAGATTGGATGTGGACAGTAAGGAGCACCATTAAATGAGATAGTTCAGGAGGTGGGATATCTGAGTTTGAATTTAGGTTATGCTATTTGTTAACTCAACTTGGGAAAATTAGTTAACCTTTCTAACCCTCAGATTTCTAATCTATAATGGACATAATAATAATGGACATAAATATTAGTGTTGCTGTGAGAAATGATGAGATAATAAATATAAAACTCTTACCATTGTCTTTGGTACATAGTGTTGTTTATAAAAAGTTGAAGTGTTTTTAAAAAAGCAAGGTGGAAGAGTTGAAGGGTTTAATATCCTTAAGTGACAGTATCCATAGAACTTGGTCTTTAGTTAGATGTAGGGAGTGGAGGGAAGTGGAGGACTCAAGGGTGGTGAGATTTAGCAAGATATGAGATACCAGTGACATTTGAATTTAAGATAACAGTGCATAATTTTTCAGTCTGACCAAATTTCATGTGACATACTTATAATAGAAAATAATTGTATATCAGAAATTCAAATTGAATTTCTGTATTTTATCTGCCAAGCCTACCAAAGATGTTCAAGGTTCTAGCTTCAGCAACTGAATGGCTGGTAGTGAATTTTTCTAAAAAGGAGATGATTCGAAGAGGATCAATTTTCATTGGAAAGATCATGAAGTAAGTTGCAATAGCAATGAGTTTAAGGTGTCTATGAGACTCATAAGGACAGTGTAAATTATTCGCTCAGTCTTTCTTTGGTCATAATTGGCATATTAGTTAAGAACAGCTATGACCACATTTTTGTTAGGAGTTAAGTAGTGCCACAATATATATTTAAAAAACAAAGAAACAAAACAACAAACTCACTGTCATCGAGTCAATTCTGACTCATAGTGACTCCCACTGGGTTTCCAAGGCAGTAAATCTTTATACAAGTAGATTGTCCCATCTTCCCTCTACAGAGTGGGTGGTGGGTTTGAACTGCCAGCCTTCTGGTTAGCAGTCAAATGCCTTAGACACTGTGCCAGCAGAGCTCCTTAGCCACAATATAGTGGGTTTTTTTTTTTTTTTTTATGTCATCAAAATGCTGTCTTTTAAATAAATGCTGGATTAAAAATACATAAAACTTTCAATTTCTTTATTTCCAGGTTTTTATATTTCTCCAGGTAATGTCACTGGTTGCCTACCGTGTTCTTGCCATATAACAGGTGCAGTTAATCAAATCTGCAATAGCCTAACTGGTCAGTGTGTTTGCCAAGATGCCTCAATTGCTGGGCAAAATTGTGACCAATGCAAGACCCATTACTTTGGATTTGATCCTCAGACTGGAAGGTAAAGACTTATTAGCATTAAAAGTTAAATATTACTTATATTTGTAATTATCCTTTCTTTGATTATTTAATGATTTTTGTCAACCTCGAAGCAGTATCTTCTATAAAAGTACTCTTTTTAGTTGTTGATAAGTTTTATTTTTATTCTTTGATATCTACATCTATAACACATAATGATAATCTTTGAATATTTACTTTGTGCAGTAACTATGGAGAGGTTGCTTAAAAGAATGGAATACCTGTACTGGGGCCTTGGAATATAAAATGTTTATACAATAATAGCCAGAAGTCAACACAGAAATTTTTACATCATCCAAGAAAGGAATGATACAAATAGAAAGAGAAAATCTACTTTTCTCTTTTCTCAGTGATGAGCAACAATATAAACTCAACATAAAATCCTTTGCCCCCAAAGATCTTACAGTCTGGATGGGGAGAAAGACAAGTAAGAGATGCCTGTAGAAACACACACACACACACACAACAAAAGGGATATTTTAACTAGCATATGTGTATGCTTCTACATGGCCCCTGAATTTGTTGCTGGATTGTTTATTTATTTTATTTCATCCATTTACATTTTCCTTGCTTTTTTAATTTCAATTTAAAGACTGGCAGATGAAAAACATCTTTGTATTCGATAATATGAATTTTTTTTTGTGTGTGTGTGTGTGTGTGTATAAAATAACTACTTTTCAAAGCTGAACTGTTCTTTAATTTTCTAATGCTCACTTCTGGCACTTCCGTGGGCATTTGCTTTCATAAACTTGCGTTTAATGCTATATATTTGAAGATGTGCATGGAAATTTTTTTTTTTTAAACTCACAACAGATTATAAACTTGTTTAGGGTTGAGACCATATCGTTAAGCAACTAATACTACTATGTCTTAAGCTCAGAAGATAAGTAATAAAACCAAGCAAATCTTTCCCTCAATATATATATGTGTGTGTTTATAAATGTAATTGCTAAGTTTTAAAGGGTTTGAGATTATCAGGGCTCTTTTCAGCTGATTTTCCCCCTGCTGCCTACAGTCCTCATTAACACTTCTATTAGAGTGTGGACAGAGTGACAAGGTAAATTATGGGGAAGAATCAAGCTAGTTCATTTTGGCTTTGTTTTGAAATTCAATTTGATTTTAAGAAATTATTTAAAATACTTTTTAATACAATTTTTATACTTTTTACTTATGTATGTATGTATGTATATAGATATGTATATAAATATAGATACAGATATTCATTTATTTTTCCTTATTCATGCTGTACCACTTCTGAGTTGCCATACAGATATTGTCTTGGTAATCTGACAGCACTAATACTAAATCACTCTGAACGAGTATAGAATAAGCATGGTATGTTGTTGTTGTTCTTACATGCCGTCGAGTTGGACCCAACTCATAGCGACTCCTCCTTGGGTTTACAAGGCAGTATCACTATGGAAGTAGATTGCCCCATCTTCCTTCTGAGGAGTGGCTGGTGGGTTTGAACTGCCAACCTTCTTGTTAGCAGTCAAATGCCTTAGGCACTACACTACCAGAGCTCCTAAACATGGTATAGTAAATATTAAATAAAAACCATTGTTAGGGTTTTGATAGTGAAATTGTGCCAGTTATTACACACTTAGTCCTGTATATATATTTTATTGAAAGAACTACGAGATGTTTAATAGTGTGATCTTTTTCATTTATCTTTTACTTATGATTCCTTTCATTATCAATGAATGATTCCTTTCATTATACCATGTCCTCTAGCCTTCAATGTGATTAAATTCAAGACTGAACTTTACCTCACTCTGCCTCTCCCATTGTTTCTATACCTTACTCCCCACTGAACTTTTCAGAACCAAAAATTCCTTTTACAAAATAATGTTTTATGACCTATCACTCTGCTGTGGACCTGGCTAACATTGGAATGGGGCTCTGGTAGCATAGTGGCTAAGGCACTTGACTGCTAACCAGAAGGCTGGCGGTTCAAACCCACCAGCCACTCCTCGGAAGGAAGGTTGGGC